TGGTTTCTCAATAATACAATTAAGCCCTTATTTGGTAGATATTTTTTATATTATAAATTTACGAAAAGTGATTTTTTGGAGAATGTATTATTAAAAAATAGAGAAAGTTATTGGTCCGAAGGAAGCCAAACAAGGACTAAATCATGTATAACAAAATTTTGAATTGTTTAGAGATATTATTTAGCGCTACTGAGGTTAACATTTAACTTCACTTATTAAAAAATATCTTAAAGTTAAAAAAAGTGAATTCAATTTAAGATGACTTATCACTCAAACGCACCTAGATTGAAAAGACAACATGATCACAAGATCTGAAAGACAATAAACAATGCCGTAAATATTCAATTTTCAGATAATGACCACGGCCACAAGAAGGAATGCGTCCTGGAGTTATACATCGTGGAACCTGGTAACGAGTTAATTAAATGAGTAATCACCAATTTTTACTTTTAGTTACTTGCTCACTTAAAAATAAAATGTCACTTGTTGCTCAGTCATTTTTTTATGAAGTTATCCATCCACCATCCATCTCAATTCTGTTCGTCCATGATAACAAAAGGAATTCACGTGATAAATGAAAATCCTACGTGGCAATAAAAAGTGTTAAAACTTGAGAGTTAATTAAGTAAAAAACCGCCAGCCTTTATCTTTGTCATCATTTGCTCATTTAAAAATAAAATGTTACAATGTTGCCCATGTTGCAAATTAGAGCAAGGCCATGTGGAGAAATCTGATCCAACATAGATCTGAGGCTTTAGAGTTTTAAGTTCGTCGAGTTTGCAGGTGTTTGCAAACCTTTCATTGAAGATGTTGTCTTATCAAGAGAGAAGACAATTTAGCAGACAGAGAGTCTGATGGCTGCAAGAAATAATCACAGGGATCCTAGTTTTGTAGAAGAAAAGTGCTCCACGTACGCAAGCACATGCCACAGAAATGCAATAGAACACTCACATACACGGTGGGGCCCGCAGATTTTATTTATTTTTAAATACACGGTGGGATCCATCAAATTGTCTCCATTCTGATATTCGTAAATATTTTCCGTACAAATGGAATTCCTGTTTATAGAATTAGAGAAAATAATAAGAGCCGTGCTACTCTACCAGATCGGTACAAGATCTGGTAGAGTAGTTGCATGATAGGGGGTGGGTGATAAAACATTTTGGGGGGTTTTTTTTAATGAGGTGGGGACCCATCAATTGTCTCCATTCTGATGTTAATCTGTAAATTTTTTCTGTACAAATGGAATTCCTGCTTATAGAATTAGAGAAAATAATAAGAGTCGTGCTACTCTACCAGATCGGCACAAGATCTGATAGAGTAGTTGAGTGATAGGGGGTGGGTGATTAAACATTTTTGGGGGGTTTTTTTTAATGAGGTGGGGACGCACCTCATGTGAGAAGAGCTGTTTTATCTGGCCTTTACCAAGCCTGGTAAAACAGCATTTTCCAAATAATGAAGGGGTTTTTTTTTTTTTAAGTATGTTGGACTTCTATTATGTGTTTCATGTTTTCAACTTTTCTTTAAATTCTTTTTTTTTTAAGCCCCGGTTTGCTTGGATTAAAATTTCAAGTCAAAGTTAACAAATAATTTTAACCACATATTTCATGCGACCCACAACTTTTCAACCACACATTTTATCAACTTTTATCAAAATTTATTAAAAATCTGATTTGAATCTTATCAAATAGAAGCATAAAACAACTTTTATACTGCATATGAATTCTTAGCAGAAAAACAATTATTTGAAGTTTGATGGAATTCAAACCTATCAAAATGTCAATATTTAACATCTGTGCTCGATTATGTCTATATTTGCATAGTACAATTCATATGATGATACAAACATTCATAAAAGACACATTACTAGAAGTGGAAAAAACTTTTAGAATCTTTCCTCGAAGTCTAAAATTTCGACATTAAATTGTATTAGATGAGGAATATGTGAAATAAAGTAATGACAAAACATATGAATGAACAAAATAAAAATGAATGATGAATGAATAACGTTGTTTAAAATCTCACTCATTTTAAACGAGTAAATAAAAATTAAAAGTAAGAATTAATGATTATTCATTTAATTAATTCTCAAGTTTTAAGCGATATAACATCTTTTATTGTCACGTAGAATTTTCACATTCATCATATCGATTTTTTGTCCTGACGAATAAACGGAATTGAAATGTATACTTGATGTGTAGCATCGTATAAAAGTGGAAGAGTAATTCGTACACTTTGATTTTATATTGTGTGTTTGAGCCACATTATTTTGGAATAGTAGATTGATGAAGAATATGTGATTGAAAAAGAAAGAAATGTTATTGATATGATGAAAAATATTATTTTATTAAAAAATGTGTGGTTGAAAATGATTAGAAAAATGATAATGGAAATTTTGATGGGCTCAAATATGGGCTGAATAAAGAGAAAATTACCATAAATAAGGTGTTTACTTTTGACTTTTAAAAAATCAGGTTTTTAGTTTATTTAATCAAAAATCAGGTTTTAATTTTACAATTAATATTAATAATAATATTTTTAAATTAAATTAAATACATACCCACCCTACTACCCACCTCGCCAACTTTATAAATATAAAACCCTAACCAAACCTAACCTAATTCATTCTTCTTCTCCTTCCATTTCTACCGCCGCCTCCACCGCCCGCCGCCGCCTCTCCCCCTCCCCTTCTTCCCC